AGATATGACATCTACAAATCAATTCGGGATCTCTTCGCATTTCCTAAACAAAAAGTGGTTGTTTGGATTGTACAGGTTCTCTCTTCGTTAAGTTTGGAAAAATACCCGACTGCCAGTCCTTTAGTTATTTGAAAACCTTGACCAGCCGCCGGTCATGTAGCCACACTATTACACGGTTTTTACATACTAATTTACAAGCTTAAGGCATCGGCATAACTAGTTTACCCCGCAAATTTGGACTGCAGCGGATCGGATGGGCAATTTTAAAAATTAATTTAATTATCAAGAAATTATCCTGGCGATATTTACCTTCTCTTCAGCAGCAGACATGGCCAATGTCATGTCCAATTTCATGGGCTTCACATGAACAATAAAGGGCTATCCTTTCTACAAACTGTCGAGGGGGAGTGGGGTGACTGTGAGAGGACGACACGCCGAACGAAAAGATGATTGGAAAGTAATGGGGGACCGAGGAGCACTTATGTCAACTACCGTCTCTCACTCCATACTGATATAGTAATCTTAGCTCCTCTTCAGTTTGGAGGCTTTATGTACTATGAAATAGTACATAAAGCTTCTAAAGTGATCCTCTTCATTTTCTCCCAATTGACTCATTAGTCAGATTCACAAGTAAACAAGATAGTTGTAAAATATTAACCAAGGAGTATGGACTACGGACTACGGACTATGGACTATGGATTGGGTGTGAGACACGGACTGATGAATCGACTTACTCACAATTTGAGTTAGTTTGAACTTTCAGGGATTTTTTTGTCTTTTTTGGCATAAAGGAGAAACTTTTTAAGTTTGAAACAATTACTTAAATCATTTAGTATAAAAAAAAACGCATAACAAGTTCAAAATATTAATTTGTAGAGAAGAGCGGTTGCACATTGTCGAAAGGGAGAAGTCAGGAACAAACAAAATGCCATTTCATGGATGTGGTTTCCGAATGTTTCTTTCTAAGCAGTTGACCAGAAGAAAAACATGTAACTAAAAGAGAAACAGTCAAACCTATCTCAAGGGTAAGTAATGATGAAACCCAAGAAAAGTATATTTCCTGAAAATTCATAAATAAGGGATTACACGTAATTTCGAAAAAGAAGTTTATCTCTCTTGCAATATGGTTTTCATTATCTCGAGGTACAAAGATCCACGATCTCAATTCTACCAGTGAAGTCGCGAGAGAATATCACAATGATTTGCTCTTAAATTGTTTTTAATCTTCGAGAATAGGTGGCACAAAACTTTTCCTTGGATGGAAGGCATAATTTGTGAAAGATCTAAAAGAGAAATTTGTCGTCACTGTTTTCAAGCCTTGTCGTAGGGGATCCTTCTTGTCGAATTTCAGCACTGAAGGTTAAAAACTTTCCAAACACGAAAGTGATTATATCTATACACTGCTTTTGACATAAAATATCGATATCAAGTACCGTTTAAGCATTGACTTATTTTGGGTATACAGATACCTTGTGAGCAATCTCGGCAACAGAGGTAGGTGATTTAAACGGAGAAGTGGCTTATTAGAGGGAATGTACCGCAGGGTATCTATGTTCGTCGTGAAAGTAACCCTGCAGATATAATATTATTCAGTATAAACCAAACAAGTAAATAGTGTGATATATTAAAGTTCACATGGCAACCAGGTGGACAATCGGACATGGTTTGATGCTTCTCTGGTTTCAAGATTTAATGAATGTAACCGAGAAGTTACAATTCATAGACCCAACGTTTCGACACTCCTCTCTAGTGCCTTTATCAAGGGTGATCTAAACGCTGCAAGAAGAGGTCCTTTTATACGCTTACTAATTAGCTGCCCTTTTTTCTGACGAGGTGTAAATAGGCGTCGGGAAGTAAGCCGCCATCATCACGATTTAAAGGAGCGTGGGCGGAGTTGACATGCGAGGCTTCCAACCAAAGGCGCTGGTGGTAACGTCGATTAGTGGTGATAATTTTAGACTTATCCCATCCAATTGTATGGTTGGTTAGGCATGTTTGCTCCAACAAAGCTGAATTTTCGTTTTTGCAAAAGAAGACTGCTTTTTGATGCTCTTTCAAACGTGCACCAAACTGACGTTTGGTCTGTCACATGTTTGGTCCGATATACTCGTGATCACAGTCATTGCACGGAATAGAATAAATAGCGTAGGTTCGTTGTTCTTCCGTGACAGGATCCTTGGGTTTGGCAAAAATATGCCCCATAGACTGAAAAGGTTTTTGAGCAACTTTAATTTAAAATTAAACATTTAAAAAGTGTAAAGTTGGTTTAAACATAAAAGAAAGCTCAAAACATTGTGTTTTAATAAACAATTTATTCAAGTAAACTGAATTCTAAAATGTAGTCCGGGCCATAGATAGTTTTCCCTATACCATGACGTCATGAAACATTGCGTCACGTTAGCCTTAGTTTTTAAAAATTGGACGGTCTAATTTTTTTTAAAACCAAGGTGAACCCGACATTTTAGTCCCGTATTTTTTTCTTTGATGTGTATGGCCCTTAGGACCCAGTTTACTTGATATAGCAAAGGAAAAGCAGTTTGAATAGCGTCGGTTGAAATGTGTGAAGAGAAATCACAATGTAAAGTCTAGCTGCGATGACTTATTTAGAACGGTTGAGGACACAAATGTTATCACGTAAATTTAAGGTATGTACGATTTTTTTCTGAAAAATAAAAATATTCCGGTAAACCTCAATGTAGTTTAGTCCGAGTGCACGGCCGTTGTTGTTGTGACTTGTTGTCTTAGGCCGTTATGGTGTTATGGCTTCTGCCAGCTATCGATTTTCTCACTGTTCCTAAAGGTCGTTTTGTTTTTCGTTTCAGCTCATGGATAATCGTATCTCCTTCTTGAGAACAGTCTATAAATTTTTTGATAAAGGACTGTCGAGTAAGAAGGTCTGACAAAAGCTTGTTCAAAAATGATAATTTTATTCAATTTGAAATAATGGGTCTGCTCGGCATGCAAACGAACACTTTATCGAGTCTGGGAAAACTAAGATCAACAAAAAATTATTTCGACCTAAACGATCTTTTTTTTGTGGACATCTCATCGTGACTAAGACTGCCCTTGTCTGGAAAAAAGCTAGAGGGCGCCCTTCACATCGAACAAACAGACAACCAGCGGCTAAAGCTGGTTGAAGTGTTTTCGCTGAAAGTCTTGCAGAATTACTTCTAATACGCGACATTTCCTTTAACATTCATGTGGAAATTACGAGTGATATTGAAGTAAATATGTCTTTCTCGAAATTTTGAATTCTATTCTACCTTCCCCTTCGCATTTCAACATGACCGCCACAAGAAGCAAGCAATGAAAAGTATCGTCCAAATCCTCTCTCGGCTACATCAGTCTGTTTTGGTCTTGTCTAGACTAATCATATCACAGGAAATGGTTAAGACAAAACTGTCGAGGGCCCGGCATACTTCTTTCATTTTCGTTGTCTGTAAAGCGTACTGAGATTATGCCATCGCGCAGAATGCCGCGACACATCCGGGTACTTTTTAAGTCCGCTGGCGGTAAATTTGAACGGTCTTCCGAGAAAAGAGAGGGAAACAATGAGGAAAATGGCTATAAATCGCTCACTTGCACCTACGTTTTTCTGTTTTACTCACCAACTAGCTGCCGAAGCTATTTGTCAGAATATGAATTTTGTAGAAGAGGGTTCAATAAACAAATTTATTCTAAAGTTTATTTTCTACCGAATTCTTCTGAAGCAACCTCTGGCCACCCTGAATTTTACGTCGAGAAGCACGGTCGAACGATTCTTGAAACCCCCGCGAGTGTACTAACATATGCAAAACTTCAGGTATTCAATCGCTCTGACGAAGGGCTAACGCTCGAAACGTCAGCTTTTTTACCCTTTACGGTGGCTAATTTACGTTTTCAACCCAGTTGTTAATACTAAATTACCTGCTATACTCTCCCACCGACGCAGCACCACAGTTTCTTTAGGAACTTACCCCTTTATTCATATGCAAAACTTCGCCTCCGCAAACAATAGCGCGAACGCCACTGCAATCAAGCATTGAAATTGAGATATCGACTTCCCAAGCTTTAGGATTGAGCGAATTCGGAAACGAAACCATTGGTAACGTTTATCACGGCAGGTTAATCGTAACACTCTTCGTTTGCAACAGAAACAGAAACAACAAGATCTTCCCAAAAATTTAGAATTCTGCCACGTGTACCGTTAAAGAAATGCAGTGTGTTGATCGGGAGCTCTTTTCAGAGCTCATACAATCCCCGGTCGACCCTGCTTTTTTAAATATGTCTCGGCCGTTGACAAGTAGTTTAAACCGCAATTCTATCTTCGAATCAACGGAGAAGCTCTTTGGGAATGGCAAAGACTCCACAATCCCGACAAAGTGTTTGATGCTCTTCAGTGCAATTTGAGGAAAATCGGGTGTACGAGTTACCACGCTCGTGTAGGTAAAGCTCTTCACGGCAGAGTGGAATATGTTGTAAATTCATGAGGATGTCCCCGTCAATAAAGACAATTAACACTGAATGGGATCATCTTGAAGAGGCAACTCCCGCATCTCAAAAAGTACTGACGACCATCTTCCAGTTTTCATACGAACAGCATAGGAATGTCGTTTGTGTTGGAACTCAGAGAGTAAGTGGGATATTTGTTTGGTTAACCCGGCAGAAGAAACGACGGCAAATTCTTATACAATACTTTTAGGAGGGATTCAGCCACGAAGATTCAAGTAAGCTATCAAAAATACTAGCAGCCTTCTATTCTCCCCTCGACCCGTTTAAGTCAAAGCTTTTGAAGTGTCAAAACGCCCTACTGAGGCCAACAAGAGTCAAGTGGACGTAAAGGTGTGATATGCAAAATAGAATGGTAAGTTTTTTCTGTTGACTGTTATTTCTGGAAACCGTCCTGCTTTTCCTTTCAAAGATTTCAGCCAAAATTTGTGCCTGCTGTAGCGTAAATAGGAACGAGAGTGAAAATAAATTCACGTAGAGGACTCGAGAGGTTCATAAAGAAGAACAATGCGTACTTCAAAAAAATTATTAGTTTGCAAAGTAACATCTAACTGATTATATTGTACATTTTTCAGTTACTGACTGACTGTAGTCCACTTGGAAAAGAAGTACTACTTTCAAAGCAAATCGGCTACGACGGGTAGTCCACATTCAGTTAAAAGGTAATAAAGATCACCCACTGTTATCTGATATTTTTGTGCAATGTAACCCAAAGCTGCATCAGCTGGATTCAAAGTGCGATTGTCAAGGAAACGAATCTCTTCTGGGGTTAGTCTCAGTTTCTCTGCAAATATCTTCCACTCATCTCCACCTTCAACGTTAAACATAAAAGTCCTTTTTCAAGATAACTTAATTAAGAGAACAAAAGGAACTAATAGAATAAACAAGGATGGAACAGAATGGTTCAGGAAATATAGATCTTATTACGGGGAATTTTGGCGTGTAATATCGCAGAGTATTTAAATACGGCACAACTCGTAAAAATACTCAGCGATACTCCACACCAAAATGTCCAATAAGTTATTTATTCTCCAGCTGCCTTTTTTCTGCTAAGTGTTTCTGCAAATTTCTCATAAGGCATGAAAAGCAAAGCGGATAGAGAAGCGTAGCGCGCGCAGCCGACTGGTGAAACAGCCTTTTTTACAGCATAAAATAAGCGTACCATATCGCAGGATATTTGTACTCGATTCGTGCGTTATTTGTACTCTACTTATTATTTTTCTGCTAAGTGTTTCTGCTCATTTCTCATAAGGCGGGAAAAGCAAAGCGGATAGTGAAGCGTAACGCGCGCAGCCGACTGGTTAAACAGGCTTTTTGACAGTATAAAATAACCAACTGTCTAAATAACCATACCATATCGCAGGATATTTGTACTCGATTCGCGCGTAATTTGTACTCTACTTATTATTACTTTGCCTTGTGAATTTTTGTGCAACGTTCTATAACGATTATTCTATGTTGATTATGCTGAAAGAATGAAAGTGAGAATGAATACGAGGACAGGTGAGAGAGTAAGTGATGGAGGAAGGAAGATCGGAAGGAAAGGAGGGAAGGAGGCGAGAAAGAAAAACATGAATACGCTTATATGAAACATTGTCATGAAGAAAAACTCAATACTTTGTTTTGTCTTCTTACCGCTTAAGGTGATAGTGAGCTTTTTTAGTTGACTGAAAGGGATTCCTCGAACAAGAAGGCTTTCCGGTAACATTGGAGCTAGAAATAAGAAAATTTTATATGTATTTTCAAAAATGATAGAATGTTTAGGCACTCCAGCTAACAACCCAAAACGTTTCGGAACTTTCGGTTAGAGCTTAAATGATTTTAATCAAATTTTAAAAAGAGCTTTAGTTCACCCGCCCGGAGAAATTCTGTGAGAAAAACGGGTAGTAATTATCAGGGAGGACACTATAATTTACCACTGGAGAAAACGACAATTAAGCCAATGAATGGAAAATAAATTATCTTGAAAATGATTTGCAGGAAAAGCATTTAGGATTGTAGAACTTTCAATATGGGATATATTTTCGGCATAAGCCAACAAAAGAGTGCGAGTGCCATTTGGAGAATCAACGAGACGAGTTATGTTCCTAACGTTTTCATAATCTGGCGAGCCTTGGAGTGCTGAGTATTTGATAGATGTTATGATGACATAATCTTGCAATCAAAAAGTATACTTCAAAAAGCACAGCACGTTATTACTCCACGAACATACTTGACGGCTGAGTGTGGCGGTCATTAAAGTAATGTACATTTGAGTTTCCATATTAAAACTTACCTGTAGTTCCCGCCGGTACAATTTTTCTCAGCTCTTCAACTAGATCACTTCGGCTTGCATTGTTAGCCTTTCTCGCCAGGGTACGAATCAGTACCCTGTATTAGGATCAGGGTCTCGCAAGACGGCGTCATTCAGATTTAATTTGTCTTCTAATTGTCGTACAAAATCTTTGCAATCATTCGACTGTGCCAAAAGGGTGTCTACAATCTCACAAGGGACAGAGAGAGTCGTAGCACCTTTCCCTAACAAAGCATATAATTTATTCATATATTAATATTGCTACACCTTATAGCTTTTTACCAGGTAGCCAGCATTCCGTAACAGATGGTTCTTTGAAAACTAAGCGAGTGTGGGCGAAATGACTACCAACAGAGCTGGATAAAGTGAAATCTGCATAGGCGGACATGTCAGGTAAATCGACCTTTTCCGTATTGTTTCACGCAAGTTTGGTGTTTTAGAGGAACCTATCACCTATACTTCAACAGTTAACCTAATGATGATCAAAGTAATAAAGGAAGATACAAGAGAAAATTGACGAGAAAAAAAGCAGAGCACGCCTAATACTGGCGACTATCGTGCAAAAACTTCTGCGTACCTAAGTAAGAACCTCACCTTTCTCCAGGAACAAAAGTTCATCACAGTGATTACTACGTCCCACCTACGATGCGTAAATAGGAAGTGGTTAAAACTTTTTCGCATATTACCATTATTACGATTGTATCACAAGAGTTAAAAAACTGCCAAAAAACCACGGGATAGTAATTTTTATCACTACATTCGCTTTGATTACTAGCTGATATAAAGTCTGAAAAATAAATTGTTTGTTGTATGATATTTTCCGTTAATTTTCTTTGAAATTCAATTACATTCGCCCCAGTAAACAGCCTTTCAAATTTCTTAATCAGATGTGTAAGCCATTGTAAAAGAATTGCTTTACTCGAATTATTTTATCTGCAATAGAGGCAATACTTTTTTCAGATGCAGCTTGTAATGATAATTACCCAGTTATCCTGAGATGAAAACCAAGGAGCCCAGCGCTCAGGGTTAAATCTGTTATTTAGCGCCGAAACAGATTCCATACAAAATGCATCTCCCTTGGATGCGCACAGTTCAGACTCGGACCAAAAGTGGAGGCATTCCTCTTGCTTGCAATTTAGACTTTGATGCCTTTCACAGTACTCGACGGCACTTTGTTCACGGCAGATTGGGCAGATGATACCCATCTTGTATCTCATACTGTTCAGCCAGCGGAACTGATTACGCATGCACTCCAGAATCAAGCCCAACTGTCTACAGACAACCCGGAAACAGCTTAAATCATTTTCATTGTACAACTTGTTCATTGACTTCTGGGAGAGGGGTGACTGCAAAGCATTTACCGACTCATCATTTGCGTTACCCTGATGGTAGACAACCTCGATGTAAGACGAGTGACATAGAAGAATTACTGAGCACCCGGCATCTTGAGACGTGTAAAACCTGGAAAAGCCGTGAAACAACTTTAGGCGCTTTGAGCTCCAAAAACTCTCTTTTCCCCATTCAAAGAATTGTAAGACTAATCTCGGAAACAGGCCAGCAGGGACTTGACCAGATTCAAATTTTACAACGAGAGAAGGTATTTGCGCGGAGGAAACCAATTTCATGACACCCTCTGGTGCTTGTGACTTTAGCATGGAGGGTACGAGGAACTGCCTGTTACCCGAGACACCATGTGAAGGCCATGAACACAATAAGCTAAATCTCTCCATTAATGCAATTAATTTTTCAGAATTTTCTCTGCCGCCGATTAACTGAGGTTCCCAAACATGTTCCAAAAGCTTTTCCTCCAAGATTCCTTCTCTTTCAAGCTTCCTCCATAATCCTAAAAAGGGCTCCTCTTCCCAATGGTAGGGTTTTACGGTTATTACCTTCTTGAACACGTCAATTAACCACTGAGAATCTAGGACTACTAGATCGTTTAGTTCTGCTGTGTCATCAAAATGGATCAAGATTCTTAGATCATGCAGAAAGTTGAGCAGCGTCTTGAAATCGTTTTCAGCAGTGATGTCGCATTCCTGGTTTGCTATCCTTTTGGCTGTTTCGAGGGAAATAAAATTATACCCGCCCTTTTTCCAGCATTGGAGAGTTTTTTCGTACTTTAACCATTTAACTGGAATCACCTCTTTGATATGCGGCAATTTCTTAGCAGCAGCGAGAACATCCTTTCGCAGGCGGCCGACTTCTTGACACTCAGACTCGCGGCCGGACTTTGTATTATCTACACAATACATACCAAACAAATGGGTACCGTAAGGTCTCTCCTTCAAAGTTCCATACACTTCAGCTGCGAGCTTGCGTGCATCTCTGCCCTCGTATGGTTCATCAGCGTGAGTGCAGACCAAAAAAACCATTGGCAGTCGTTTTGGAAGTACCTCGAATTGAGTATCCATATCCTTGTCTTCGCTATATGTGGCTAGGGAAGCTAACGAATTCATCCAGAAATCTAGGTAATCCAAGTTAGTTTTTAGGTTAAAACTATCTTGAGACTCTGCGTATACTCCCTGCTTCATTAGCTGATTGGCTTTTGCGTTTGGGTTCCAGTTGAGGTTATAAACAAGAAAATAGATCGCTCTTGCCGTAAGGAAAAGGGGATGTGTTACATAGTAAACGGATTCTCCAGCGAAATCCCACAGAATTGAATAGACATCGTCAGCCTCATCCTCTTTTCTCTTCTTTCTTTCTTTAAGTAAACTTTCAATCCTTGCAGCAATTTCTTCAAAATCTGATGCTTGATCTGGTGTGGGGTTGGGTAAATTATCTTCGGGATCCAATTTCTTTAGACCAGGAACTTGTCTCACTGGCGAACGATTTTCATTAAAGCTGCTTTCGGTGGATAACTGATCCTCAGTTTTCTCAATTCGAAGGCCACTCGATGAGTCAGTGGAGGTTGCCTCCAATACATCATCGGTCTCATCAATATCATAGTCCTCTCCCTCGCCAGGATTGTGTCTTCTACTAATCTCATTGACGGTTTCTGTCGTCCTTAATGTGTCAGCAGCCAAACGTGCAGCATTTTGCTCAAACGAAATAGCTTCTTCATCAACTTCTCCGTCTTCATTCTTTTTTCCTGTCATCCACATTTCCGTGGTCACTTCAAAAGGGTTAGGATCAAGATCGATGCCCACAGTGCTCTCCTCCTCTGGGTTGAAGCATATGCCCTTCAACGATTTCTTCAAGCTAGTCTTTCCGGATCGGTCTTGTCCAACCAACATCAGCGGTACCCTCCTGTCACAGATTTTTCCTTCATGCAGGGCGTTGTAATAGGCCTGTAGAGCGAGAGGTCCTCTTGCAAGAATCTCTGGAGGAACTGCATGTTTGTAGGTATTTAAGAAAAAACATACTTATGATAGTAGCAAGGATATTGCAACCTTTTTCAAAAGACTGACAAATTCGGGTTCGCGATTTAGCTGAAAAAGCAGTACATTGATGGCTGCTAATATAATGGCCTAATGTTTTTGTCTTGTTGGTGTTACAAAACTAAAGTCACCGTGATAGTTGTCTTAGCTTACTTTGTGTGCCTTTTGGCACAAGACACACAAAGTGAGCTAAGGCGCCCCAAGACTACAGGCGACCCAAGCTCACGTCTCGAGAAAAATTCAATGATTAATTCATGAAAGCGTCACGCGTTGTGTGACTCGGTGTTATGGTACGCGAGGAACCGTTAAAAATTTGAACACGTTATGAGGAATAGTATGGGGAACGAAATTACATTTACATCAATAAATATTTTGAAATATGAACATTCTACACGTTAAATCGATAAAAGTTACTCACATCCTGTGTATCCGTTTTAGTTTCTCGTAATTCAATACCGAGTCACAACGCGTGACGCTTTCATAAATTTATCGTTTGCTTTTCCTCGAGACGTGAGCTTGGGCTGCCTGTGGTCTACCGATACAATCCTACATTAATTTGTTACCACAGCAACATCACGCAAGTATAACACAGAAATATGTCATTTTTTGTCAAAGGAAAAGTATATTTGAGTTTAAGATATTGCGGACCATTAAATTAAAGGTAATACTAGACAGCGAAATCTGGTCTGGTGTCCAAATTCTCGTACTGAACTCAAATGTTTTTCTCCATCTTAAGCTCGTGGCAAAAGAATAGTAGCTTTTTTATTTCTTTCAACCTTTTTCTTTACCTTATTGTTACGAAAGTCCAGCGACGATAATTCAATATTTTTTTACTGAAAATGCGTAACGCATAATTAAAGAATAACCTTAGAAAAAGTCAAATTTTCCATTTACCTATCCTTTCCAGCCCACTTCTCATTATCTTTCCGACAACAAAGCCTTGAACTTCTTTGACAAATTCAAGAAAATCGGGTAACTTTCTGACAATCATCTCTGCTTCCCACTGTCCACTTCTGAGTAGCCTGTCCCAGTCGTCACAATGTAGGTGTAGATCAGTCTACAAAAAAGAATGAAAATAGAAAAGATTTATCATACAACCTGCTGCCTCTTGGATAATGTTAAAAGAAACCTCCTTGCTTTCATTAAGCAAGGAGGACTCAGTTTGTCTTTATTTAGTAGTCAATACCGATTCTCTGGATCTTTCATCAGTCACCACAAGGCGCCACGATAGTTCCCTCGATAGAATTATACTGAAACCTGGTTTGGACTTGTACACGATTCGTTTGGAAAACCGCTTGTGGCTCAAATGATATCCTTCTGGGATCTTCTTCTCCGGGAGTTTTAGTCCAAAAGAGTCGTCTTCCTTCAAAGTCATCTCAGAAAGATAATCTGCCAACACGCGTATAACATCTTCTTTGGGTACATGGTCTAGATCTGTGGCATTCCCTGTTTAACACAAATACACAGACAAAAACCAGAAACGTTAACAACACTTAACAACAAAAACTGATTGTGTGATAGCTTTTATGACTATCGGATAAGATTCTACAATTTAATGATTAATTTTCATTTCTCTAAAACACATTTTCTTGCTCGCTTTAACCATCAGAATCAAGCGACGAGGATAATTACGGATCGAGCTGCTATTGGGTTGATATTCAATATAGAGTAATTTTCTGCAAGCCCGTTGATTTTAACAAGGCGAAAAAACTTCTTAGCTTATTGACCCTAGACATAAATTCTTGCTTAGTCGTTGAAGTCAAGAACATCAATCAGATTAAAATGCTGAAATAGAGCGGTTCTTCTCAGATTTTATTTCTAGCCTTATATTTTCCAATTGGCTTCTCCTCCTCAGCTCAATGCAAACCAATTACGCCCTTTAGGGCAGCCAGCATTCCTAAACTTAATGAAGAAACCGAAGAGGCTCTTGGGAATTGTAGAAGAAAATAATTCCTTACCCTTTTATGGCATAAAAATCTGTAGACCCTAGTACCTGAATTTTTTATTTCGTGAGAGACATTCCATCTATGTAACTAGAGTATTTCCACAGAACTTACCTGTTCGTTCACGTATGGTGAGTCTGCAATCAAACTCGCACCCGGGAAATAAAATATCTCCTTGTAAATATCTTCGCGAGGGAAGAACTATCCAGCCTCGACTTCGTGACCGAGTGGTTTCATCGGTGAAGCAAATTTCTTTCAGAATGTTTTTGACGTCACTAAGTGGTAATGGAATGCCTTCCAATTTTTTCTTGACATTCTTTCTAGCCACCCAGACCTTAAAACCAGACATTCAAAAATTGTTTGCTAAGTTATATAACTCAAGCTTTAATCGAATCCTTCTTTCCACGCCCTTCGGAACGAGTTGCTTATGTTGTTTTTGTTGTTGCTGTTGTTGTTGTTGTTGTTATTCATATTCAAAACAACGTGGTTTACGATGTAAAAATAAATGCAAATTGTGAGATTTAAAGAGGGTGCTAATCTCCAAGTCAACATGGACCTGACCTTAACCAAGAATAACATGTTTAAATTACTCAAAATAATATATTCTTCATGTGAAAAATGTTGGAAAATGGAATTTCAGAAATACCTGATCCAAAGCCTCCTAAAGTTACAAAAATTTTCTGCCTCGACAACATTACTTGGAGAGGCACTGAAATTATTGATGTGACATAACCGTAGCGAATGTTGTAAGATATTTTATCGGGCAGAGGCTTTCAAATCTGATATCCACTGTTGTATTTTGGGCGGCCGTTTTAGAGTTTAACATTATCCTCTGATTCAAATTTACAGGGAACGCCAATATACTGAAAAGTGGTAAAAGATCCACGTAATTATGGCGTTTTTAAATACATCCATCTTGCCTTAAAGTGTAGCTCACCATAGGTACGCTCTATAACCGTCAATATACACCCAGTCTTCAAATTCTCTAAAGTTGATTACCAACGACAATGACACTCCCCAAAACATACAGTTAAAGACAGAAAAAACTTGGCGTAAGTAAAGTTAATTTGTATACTGCTCGCTTTGCAGTTATAGTTATACATATTGAAGCGAAATATGAATTTCTGATACAGTCTCTACCGGATGTTCTGTGGCGATATTGCCAATTTGTGCGAGTTCGACTGGAATAATTGATATCTTGTCAGGTAAACCAAGCAAGTCTAGCAAAGCGGGCCAGGGGCCCTTTACTTGAAAGGTCGGTAACTTAACGGGCCCATAAAGCTGTTCTGTTTTCATTCAAGAGAGTGGTTTCAAAAGTTTTAAAAATAATGAAATAAAAACTGTCAGCTAAAGAAAAAAATCATGAACTGGAGCCAGAACTTGCCTCATTATTCTTTAAATTTTTATTTCGGGCTTCAGGCCCGTTAAGTTACCAGGAACTACGAAAAACAGGCCCCAGTCACTTTAATCGCTTCCTTAAACCGACTCACCTTACATCTCACTTGACGACTGCATGGAGTGAAGAATGTTAAGTCATATCTTGCGGCGTAGTCGAGGTATTCTTTTGGTGTATCGTCATAGTAATATCGTCTGAAAATATCCTCAATGAAATTCACGCCTTCTTGAAAAGTAACCTTCCAATAATTTCCTTCCCTTGACGACTGAAACTTTGCTGCTGCATCATCTATGCTCCATTCTTCTTTCCCAATGTCCTCTGTAAGGGATAACAAAGCTCCTTTAAGCATAAGTTTTAAACCATGAAGCTCATTACCCAGGTAAAATCTCTAGATTTGATAATCACTACTGTAGTAGGAAGCTAACATTTTCTGTTAAGTTGAATTAAAGTAAGGAGGAATTAAGGGTTTTAAAACGCATAGGCAGGTACAAATTGAAGAAACCCAGTTTCACGACGATACTTAAATGTCGATTAGGCTAATCGATGTAAATTATCGTCGTGACATCGCGGTCAAGGTCACTAAGCAAAAAAGGTTGATGTTATAATGAAATTTAAAAAAAGTTTACATGATTATGATAACAACGTTCCTTGAATGTTAGCTCCATACTGGCGCAAGGTATTCATAAAACTTTTCACATCCACGATATTGATATGTGAATTTGTTTAACCCATAATAACATCAAAATCTTTTCTTAGTCGCCTTGGTAATGGTGCACCAATGAAGGCAAAACGTCAGTTGATTCATTTAATTATAACGTGCCTGAGGGGTTAACTGATTTATCGTACCGCAAGATGATGACTGCAAGGTCATTTATACATATCATTCGTATTTTGTAGTGAAAGTTCCTTTTGACCTGTGCTACCAGGTGTTAGGTGTTACCTTCACTAGGCCCACTAATAGTGGCTAATCCAAAATGACACCACATGTCAGCTTCTAACTGGTTGCTTGAATCCATGTTAGCTTTCAGTTTTCGCAGTGATTCCAACGTGGCGTCATGAAGTTTTGATAAATAGCCTGAGTCACTCACACATTCCTATTCAAAGGATGATACATGGAGGAGTTAAATATCATCTAACTATTTCACTGGATATCACTGACCTTTGACAAAGACAAAGTGCATAACAAACCTGGCATATTGTTTTTCATTCAGACATGCACGATGAGGTGTTGCCATAGTACCTACGGATAATTTACATAAAGATGCCGCCAATAACGTTACTGGCTATGGTTCGGTCCACTATGAAATGAATCAACATTCGTTAGAGGATAAGAAAACTCAAAATACAATATTTGCAATTCGATTTGCCGAGGACGTTCTTCGTTATCCCAGTTTAACTTTCATAGTGCAAAGAAGCATACGATAATTAAAACCTCAAAATGAAAAAGCGATGAGTTACCACAACCCAATTTCGTTCCATTTAAATCGTCTAATAATAATTTGTACCCATTTGACACTTTGTTTAGACCTTAAATTGTTATATGAAATTGCAAACCTGTAGGTTGGATTCTCTTGAAGATTGTAGTCGAAACTGCGCCTGCGAGCTGGGGACCACCAAACAATCTTTTTCTGAAACTCGCTCCAGCTTCAGTTTACAGTTCTCGGTAATATTCCAATCGTCAATGAAACAGCAGACTGTATAGCTTTTGTTTTCTAGGCCCCTGAGTCGTGCTAAAGCCTGAAATTGATGAGTTCCTTGGTTAGTTTTTAATGTTTTTCAACCAAAGGAAAGACAACTGGAGGTGGTTATCAAATGTTATACTATTTATTTTTTGCACCTGCAGTTATCTGCCAACAGAGATATACGTAGTAGATGTAAAGATACAAGAAAAGAAAATAACGTACACGTAGTGTTAGACCATGAGGAAAATCCTCTCGGCCACTCAGAGAGAGGAAATAAAGTGACTTTGTTCGAAAGCCGAATAATCCCAGAAAGAAGGCACATAATGAAATGTGTACTGAGATCTCTGTATAAAATCTGCTTTAAAAGCAATGTATGTATATGTCTTCACCCTGACTTGCAAAAGATGAAGCTCTTTGAAATAGTCACTTTCCTTTCTTCTTACAATGACACACCATAATAGATTGTCAAGAGCTAATTTGCAAGTTGCTATTGAGTAAAGCCTGTCATTTTTGGGAGCACATGCAACAATTAATATTTTCCGAGTTTAAACGTCATCGAGTATGATGATGTCGAATAATAGGAACCACATTTGGCATGCTTTTGAGCTTAAGCATGTACAAAAGATATCTGGAACACGTACAAATAACACAATTGCACCTCTGGTAATAGTATAGAGAGAAAAATAGTAACAATATTGTCGTAACAAACAAAATTGGTTTAAGCTTAAAAAAAAAAGACAGAGTTGATAATACTCTACTCTGTGTAGCTGATTGCACTTTATTTGAAGAGTTGAGTGGCTCAGTTATGATGGTGAGAGGATTGAAAGGCTGCCTTCACTTCTTAGGGCGCAAAAAAAAGTTACTGAGGTAAAAAACGACTTAAACTTATTGATTGAGGAGAATAAAATTTATCCAAACCACCAACCACTTGGCGTTTGATAAGCAACTTCACGTGATCTCTTTGTTGCTTTGTTCCCTGTGTAATGTGCACCTCTCCTCTTTTACGGGTCACTTTTGCTCCTGTCTCTTTGCTTATCACAAGCAGATTAGCTCCGTGCTTTCCAATCACCAAACCTTTGTATTCGGTAGGAATCTCCACTTCCTCCCACTTGGTTAGTTCTATTTCCTCCTGTGAAGAAAAAGGCGGTAACTTGCTGCTCGCATGTTAGTAGATCTAAACTAAACAGCATTCGTGGACACTCAGTAACATTCGAGTCAACAAAACGAGTGTAATTTTGTTCACAATCACCTCCGTTCATTAAAGAATTCATACACTGTAGTTACCTTTTGACATCTTATCAGGAAAGTATTTAGGCTATAGAAACTAATCTGGAACCGAACGGTATGGTATCCAGAATTTTTTAAGGTATTTCAATTTTGTTACCGCATCGTTTATGAGTAAAAAATAAACTCACCACTTTTTCTAAAATTAGTCTTTTTGCAGTTTCTCTCTGCTGGTCATTTCCACTAACAGTAAATCCTTCTTCTTCTCTATATCTGGATGTAATTATTGCTCCCGATCTCTCTCTTATACTATTCAACACGCTTCCATCCCTTCCAATGACACGGCTCTTAAATTCTTCGCATACTGGCACATATTCACTATCCATTTCCAGCCTCTCTTCTCGTGCGTTTCAATTGATCAACTGAAAACCAGAACAATTCTAATCAGCTGACAATTTCAATAGCCTCAAGCAAGGAGGGTTTATTCGCGACAAAACAAAAAAGTAATCAAACAACAAACAAATAAAAACGAATAACCAAGTTCTCCAATCGTGATTCCTAAGCGTCATAATCAGTTTACTAATTTTCTAACTTTTCTAGTCATGGCTTATTTTGTTTTGGCATAGACTAATAAGTAAGTTATTACGATTTGACGGTCTCCCGCAAAGGTCAATGATCCAGCCATAAAACTGGGAGAAAATCTGCAACAGACAGCAACTATCTATCTAATGCAGCATAAGAATAACAAGTCATGGCAATGTATCCGTCAAGAGATCTAAAAACATATCATAACATCCTTGATCGTGTAGTCTGATCCTCAAGTTCAAGCGTCTTCAGGACATTGAGAAACTAAAGCCAGACATAAAGTGATCCCTGGCCGCAATAACAACAGAAAAGTGGTACTCGGCATGACATATTGATTCAAACGAATTCTGCAAAGAACCTGGCTAAAAGGTTTTGAAACTATGTTAGCTCATATCTCAGCTAACTGAGATGGACTCTTCGTGATAACGGGTGATTTTGATATTGATGTGCTTAAGTCAGTACACTGATATTCTCAGCATGTGCGATCTACCGCCGGTAGTCACTCTAAGTCAACACGAATCACAGCCGAGTCGAAAAATCCAATTGATCACTTTATAACTAACTATATATACAGACTGACAAACACTGATATGCTACCGCGCCCAGTGATTAGCGATTACTGTGCACCGTACGTCTGCGAGAACGCACGAGTTAACCGATTTGAACCGTGATACAAATACATCGGGAATGAACGTCGCTTCTCTGAATAGGCTGAATATGCCTATATTGAAGATGAAAAAGGCCTACCAATGAGTGCATTATACTGTGTTGATGACCCAGATTATGTTCAACACAATGCTATTTGACTAGCTGGAAAAACATGCCCCTTTAAAGTGTATTAAGATAACCCGTTCTCTTACGTCATGGCTAAAATATCAGAACATACGCTTTTTTCTGTTCAAGAAAAATGCAGATATATTGGAAGGGATTTGTCCATCGAAGAAAGTCTAAAGTTTCTTAAATGGCCAACGTGGTATCAAAGAAGATTATTTTCTTCGCTCTCTGAGTGTTATAAGACAATGGTCTTGGACCCCTCAGACTGTTTTATATTCGCAAATGATTTTCGACCCTTGAGAGCTAAGCACTGTTTCAAACTTAAGTCTGCATCCCCACCTTTAAAAAAGTTTAAATATTATTTTCTTTGTATAATTGATTCATGGAATTATTTTCCAGGAGAAATCGTTGAGGCGGACAATTTGAACATTTATAGGAGTAGACTCAAATATTATCTTACGAGCGTTTTGCGTGAACATTAATCTAACTGAAGGTGTGACATATTTCCATTTTAAAACAGATACAAATATTTTAATTACTTTTAGGAGGAGATAATCTAGGAAGGTATAACTTCTTTTATCTCCTTTTCGCTTTTCGGTTTAATTTTGAAAAACAGTTATTATTATTATTATTATTATTACTATCATTATCATCATCATCATCATTGTCCATAAAGTTTGCTTAGGTTAAAAAATGAACTGTTAACACGGAAAAAAATATATCTAAAAAGTAAAACCAAACATCTTCGACGTTAGGTCATCATCATCATCGTAATTCATGATGACTTAGCTGTCGAAAACGTTTGGTTTTTACCTTTTAGATATATTTTTGTCTCTGAAATTGCTCATTTTAATAATTATTATCATTATTGTCATTATTATTACTATTATTAGTGTTATTATTATCATTATTATTACCATTGACAGTTCCAAAAGACATGTTTTTGCCAAAGTCTTTAATAGCCTCCCTAAGGACATTAGGAACATATCAGACAAGGGCTTTTTGAGTAGGGGAAGCAACCATTATTTTAATACTGTTGCAAAAGATAGGCAATTATTCATTTATTTGCATAGTTTTATTTTTAGCAAATTACAGGACTCATATAGAAATATATACATATATATATATACATATGTATACTTTCGCATTAAGATTACCTAAATTGTATTGAAATTATTTTAAACCAGTGGTGGTTTGATAGGACTGTGATAAGTTTATGAATCGTGTGGCTTTAGATTCTGGATGAAAAGCAACAACTCATGGTCTGGAAAACCTGAATAAATCATTATTATTATTACCATTATTATTTATACTCAATTGGCGTAGAGCCACTAAAGTCTTACAGGCAATAACTACATATCGAAACTAACCAATTAATTTACACGAAATGGACTTAAAACACTCTCCTGACCACAACTCTACGCTCGACTTTAATACGGACTTTTAGTGAAGTTGTCGAAAAGTCAGTCGCTACTTTCAAAATGGTCCTTCTTAGAACCACCCAAACCACTCGGTCAAATGATATCAAACTATTTCAAACCAGTTCAAACCATTTAGTATATCAAGACATGTACACTTTTAAAAATGATTTTTATCGAGTACAAACAAACGTGGTGAGTGTAAATCTTTGACTAATAATCTTGACAAGCGGTGACCTAATCAAAGACAACTGTGATGCTACATCGTAAGTTATCATGCTTCTCAAGTTATGTTATGCTTTAAAAGAGAATAATTCGAACAATTCTTAACGGAACTTGATGAAGCGTTCGAGAAAATTCGTGTACTTCCGGGAGGGCGAACGATATTATTCAGCTGGTTGATTCTGCAAATAAACTGGAAAAGTAAACCGAAAATTGACAAGTCAAAAGTTACTGCCTGTTTCATTTGCATGAAGAGGTAGCTACAATATTGGTTAACTTACCTATTCACCGCAACTGACGGAAAATTACACAACAAGACCTTTAGATTTAGTAAATCATTGCTTGATCATCTACAATTAAAGTTAACCTATCGATCTCTAACAAGTATAATATTTTGTTATGATTTAAGATTTTCTTAAGAAAAATTCGCGTAAATGTGAGAGAAAAAAACTTCAATGATTTACATACACGTACATTCATCACAAATAAAGCAATTGTGAAAAGCCAATTGCGTGATCACAAATGTTATTCATGCTGTTTAATTTTTTTTAAATGACCTCATTCAAGATAAGCGATCATTCGACAGCGACTAATGCTTTTCTAATTCCGTTACCATCAAGTTCGTTTAAATAAGAAAATAAAAATTGTCGAAAGATCAGACGCTTAGTAACAATCAGCAATCACATTTTAAATATTTTGAATGGCAAATGAAGATCTGAGCGTCCATCGCTAGAGAAATGTTCTCAGTGATTCATGTTTAATAACGCAAAGGAAATGCTGATCGAATGTCAAACACGTCTGTGTATTTTCCTGTTTTCGTCAATGAGGTTTTTTTCTCCATAGTTTTAAAATACGGATGTGAAATGATACTACGTAAACAATGCAAGAAGTTATTATGCCATTTCCTTATCCTTAAGTAAGTTTGTAACTTACCATTGTCTCTGGTGGTGGTTTATATTTCATTCACAAATCGTCTATTTGAAAAAGGCTGAAAAAGCTCTCCGGTCGATCGGTTTTCACTATAACCTTTTGTAGCTTAGTTCACCGGGAAACGGATTTTCAGAACTGAGATGTTTGAGAGAATCGAGCTGTGTCGCAACTAGAAGTACTTCCGTCATGGCCGATGTTGTGCTCGATCAGACAGCAATGATGCCTGGCGATCGCAAGGCATGATGGAATTATTGCATTTTGTCATCAAGGAGACAGTTACTGATTAATATTTATTCCTCGGAAACACGTCGAGCTCAGTTCCCCAGGAACAAGTATTGAACCGTTATGTCCATGCTCAGAGTGATTTTGAGTTCACTTTAAATACTCTGTTTTATTTTTATGAAATAGGAAAAGTTCCACAACTACGGATAAATAATAAAGGTCCAAGCAATGGCTTTTTAAAGGTTAAAGGGGTAAGTTTCGAAAGAAACTGAGGTGCTGCGTCGGTGGGAGAGTATAGCAGGCAATTTAGTGTTAACAACTGAGTTGAAAACGTAAACTAGCCACCATAAAGGGAAAAAAAGCTGACGTTTCGAGCGTTAACCCTTCGTCAGAGCGATTGGAGGAATTGTGGGTTGTGTGAGGATTTGTTGTATTGATTTGGAGGTTATTACATGTAACTGAAAACAGACAACTGTCCCTGCCGCATTCTCCAGCTTCATTTTTGTAACATTGTTTCTTTGACGAATCAAACTTCTCGATAGCTGAAAATATTCGCAAAGCGTAAATGGTAGCTTCTCTGAAGGAGTTAATCACTTGATACACTTGGCAT